GAAAGCTCCCCTCAAAAAAGAATCTAAACTGAAGCTACCTCCCCTACCTCAGCTAGGACAACCTGGTGGAAGGGACGACCCACTGATGAGGCATGGACTCAGTGGGGCAGGGGTTTGATTAGGGCATGACACTAGAGGAAGCGAAAAAGAATGCCGTGGAGCACAAATCCCAGGGAGAGGGAAATAAAACAAATCCTACGGATCTAAAAAGAAAGCGGGACGGAAATAACACCCCACCACCGCAAAGAAAAGTGGACGCTACCTCCACTTTGCGGGTCGCGATCCTACCTAAGGGGTTCCCTAAGACTATCAACAGTGCGAACGAACAAACCCTGGTGGAGGAAGCCATAGTAGAAGCATCCACACAGGCCAGGAAACCACACAGTCAGCAGAATGGCTCAAGGTAAAAATCCCACACCTGATCAACTAGAAGGGAAGCTTCTACAGTTAATAGAAGCGCAGAATGTGGAAAATCGTCAGCCAAAAAGACAAGGGCAAAGGCCAGATCCTTGGGATAGGAAATAGATGGCCTATCCTGCCAAAGGATCAGGGATAATAATTGATACACTATTCACTATCGATTCGGGAAAATCCCGGATAATATACGGCCTTCAAAAGAAAGGAAATAAGGGAACAGGGAGAAGGCAGAACCAACTCCCAGCAATTCCAAAGATGAGAATGTAGAGAGCATAGAGAGCCTTAACCTTTATAATATCTGCAGACTCATCTGAGGATATAGAAATAGATGAAGATACCCTCGCCAATGGGGACGGCACCCCCATTGGAGGATAGTAAAATGGCGGGCATCGACATCGCCCAAGTGAATGTCCATCACGCCAAGAAAGCCTCGGCTGTGATCTCCAGGCCATTCACTTAAGACCAATTAGGGATCGTACTGGTCCAGGAACCGTGGACCTACGGAAACCAGGTAAGAAGACTTGCATGTAAGGATGCAAGAGTAATTTATCACACTAGTGATGAAGTACCCAGAACATGCAAGATGGTAAAAAATAATATTAAATATTCTTGTCTTTCAGAATTCATGACGCGCGATCTCGTCCCAATTCGAGCATACCTCGAATTTGGGATGAGGCGGCAAGACATAGTAATAGCTTCTAGTTACTTCGTCGAAGATGGGCCTGTACCACTTCCAGAAATATCGAGGCTAGTGGAGTAATGTCGGAGAAATCTGCCATTACTTCTTGGATGCGACGCCAACACGCACAGCACCGTATGGGGAGGCAATGACACCAATCAAAGAGGTGGGCAACCTTTAAAATATATTTTCAATAAGGACCTTATTGTGCACAATATTGGGAATACTCCAACATTTGTAACAAGGGCAAGAAGTGAGGTATTATATATCATATTAAGTACACCGAGCATTAAAGATCTAGTTAAAAACTGGAGAGTATCGAGTGAACCATCTCTATCTGATCACAAGATAATTGTGTTCACGTTAGAGAGCGACATTCCTGAGACGATCCTTAGGAGGAATCCTAGAAAATTAGACTGGGACAAATACAACGCCATTCTAAAACAAAATTTAGCACGTCTCCAGGCAAAAAAGGGACCCAGGCACCCACTTGCTCTGGAAAGCGATCTCGAACTAAATCGGACAATACTTGAGGCATATGAATCAACTGCCCCATTCAAAGAAATAGAACTAGTAGGGATGCTCCTTGGTGGAACCGTCATCTGTCAAACTTACGATCCGAAGTGCGGAAGCTCTATAGTAGGGCCAAGAACAGCGGAGACTGGCAGAGCTACACCGAGGCACTTACCACCTACAACAAAGAAATCAGGAAAGCTAAATGTAACAGCTTCAGAAAATTCTGCGAGGATATTAACTCTACACCTGCGACAGCGAGACTGCACAAGGCCCTGCCAAAAGGAAGAGTTGATACAGTTATGTCGTTAAAGAAACCAAATGGAAGCTTCACGGAGAGTGAGGAGACAAGAGCTCGCCTCTAACTAGAAACTCACTTTCCTGGAAGCATACCTTTTCTAATATGGGACACGACTAAGGTAAGCAGGCCCCCAAGAGAGGCCGCTGTAGTGGCAAAACGCATATGCAGCAGCAACCGGTTAAAGTGGGCCGTAAACACTTTTGAACCGTTTTACGTCTCCAGGTATGGATGAATATTTCCTGCCCTGCTTCAGCGGGCATAGGAAGAATTACTACCGCACAAAATCCGGATATCGCGGAGCAGTCTGGAGCTTGGATATGTACCAGAATCATAGAGAAGGGCCAGTCACCTTTACTCCAAAAGTAGGGAAAACCCATCCCAAATCCTTCCTACCAAAAAACAATGGAGAAGGCTGTTGATAATTATATCAGAACAGAAGTCCTGGAGAGGGCTCCACTCCACCACAGCCAGAACGCGTACCGATCATGAAGGTTACAGAAACTGCCGTGGTACAGCTAACTGACGTAATCTAGGATGCACTGGCAAACAAATGTTTGCCTTCCTAGACATAGGAGCATTTAACGACACGCTACACGAATCTGTCAAAATAGCACTTGCATACAGAGGAGTAGATAGCACCACATCCAGGTGGATGGCTCAGCTGCTATCTACGTGAACTGCAGACACAGATAGGGCAGGATAGGTCTACATCTGCACAACCAGAGAATGTTTGCAAGAAGTTCTATCCCCACTAATGCGGAGCCTAACCGTAGACGAACTTCTATGCAGATCGACTGACCTCGGCATACCCTGTCAAGGTTATGCCGACAACATAATCATATTTGCTAGAGGCAAGTTTGGAAATATCCTGCGTAATAATAGTTCATCGAGGACTAGGCCATACCAACAGATAGTGCCGTGAAATGGGACTTAGTATAAACCCGACGAGAACAACACTAGTAGCCTTTTTAAGGAAAAGTAAACTCAATCTCAAAACCGTTCAATTAGACGGGATAGATATAGAATGGAAAAATGAAGTCGATATCTAGACCTAACCCTGGACAACAAACTTCTCTGGAACTCACATGAGAACGAAGTAGTAAATAAGGGTGAGATTACAGAACGTCTGCAACTTTGCAGATCTGTAAATATGGCGGCAACTTTGAAAATCTGCAAATATGACTGACTTACACATGCGAGTATCAAGTTTTCGTATTCCAAATTTGGGTTTAGTGTTGTTGGGGGTAATAAACCACAATAAATATTGCGAATTTGCATATATTTTTTGGATTACTTGCATTTGTAAGTCCGCCATATTTGCAGATCTGCAAAGTTGCAGACGTTCTGTAATCTCACCCTAAGGCCACAAAAGCCCTAATGGCAAGCAGAAACATTGCAGGTAAATGATGGGGATGTAACCCGAACACACTGCAATGGATGTAAACTGCAACAGTGAGACCAATAATCACTTACGGGGCTACAGCCTGCAGTAACAGAACTAGTTTAGCTCCTACGAGAGCTAATATCTCAAAAGTACAAAGACTAGCCTATGTTTGCATCACCGGTGCAATGAGCATCTGCCCTACTCTATTACCTTCAGGACCGAAGATACCTGAATGTCCCAAGATGAAATGAAAAAAGTACAGTTTTGTATCCAGTTTAACATCGAGAGAAACTAGCGTAGACAAGAGATTATCATCATGTCCGATAGCCAAGCAGCTATCATAGCCCTGAGCTCATACGTAATCAGCTCAAAAATGGTCTACATATGTCTAGAAAAATTAAATGAGCTGGGCGAGAAAAATACATTTACTCTCACTTGGGTCCAGGGACATAACGGGGTACAGGGTTTGCGGTATCAGCAGTAACATAATATTATGAGATATTAAAAAATAATTGGGCAGTAGAAGAACCGATAATTGGAACAATCTCTTGGGGCTAAGACAAGCTACTTTTGGATGAATATAACCAGAAAAGATCGGCATCTGCCTGAGCAAAAACAGGCTACGTATTGTAACAGGGGTACTTACTGGGCATTGTCGGCTAAAAGGATACCTTAGTAAAGTGATAGTAAAGATTCTGTAAGGAGGAGGACGAAACCTCCATTCACATTCTGACTGAATGTGTAGTACTCCAGAATCCAAGGGCACTACATCTAGGAGCATATCAAATAGAAGAGTGAGATTTACCTAACTTGAAGCCACTCCAAATCCTACACTTCCTTAAGAAGATATGATTGGAAGGGTCGTTAGATGCATTGATATATTTCCTTGCTGCAGAAAGGGGCACAATATATATTTTAGCTCGCTGTGTATGAACACCCCATTCCCAACATACATAACATAGACCAATGTTCCACTGGAAAAGCGATATGATGTAATTATTGTCGTTGATTGTTTATATATACACAAAAAATGTGTCAGATTTCCATAGCCGTCCTGGTTTAAAAAAGAAACTGAATTGCATATACTAGTAAAATGAAGATGATACACTTAATTATATTTGGACGTGAGAAGGTTAAAGACAATAATTGGTTTAAGCAAGCCCTTCTGATTACAAATGTGGGATATTGCTGTCTACAGTCGGCGACGTATTATTCTATTTCTGTCTATTCAATGGTATTGTGTTAATATTGCGGTTCTTCTTCAATCAGGATTAAAAAGTTAACATATTGTATAAAGATATTTGAATATTTACTTAAATTTGTATCATTTAATTTACTTTTGCCTGCCATTATTGCTGATTTTTTAACAACCCAAGCTACATGATTACCCTGTTTTACACAAATTTGATAGACAATACTTTCATTCTAATAAATCTACACTTTTTAATGAATCCAAGTGTACAACACATCTCTTTTGTATTAAACTAAACCGTAATCCTCAGAAAACGAACAAATATACATCTAGTCAACCAAATTGATACAAAATAACTTTGATCCATTGTACTTGACAGTAACAGTCTTTATATGTTGCTTGGAAAATTTGATAACTATTCTAGAGTAATTACAACTTTACATACAATTAATTGAATTTATAATCCATATTGAATATCTATTTTAAAATGAACATTTAACTACAAGTATAGGTATCTGAACATTTAAAATATATCTGATCCGGTTCGTTTAGCTCTTAGTTTTGCTTCTTCTGCACTCATTTTCTCATTTTCTGATGGATTTAAGGGCTGTCCGTCTTCTGCAAGTTTTCCTTCTTTGAAATCTTTAACTATTTTTGGGGAATATACTACGTTAAATAAATCTTGTTCTGTAAATTTCGATTGAAAAACATCAGGAGCTCGATAGGAAACGTATGGTTTTAGCTGTAATTAAAATAAAAGTATTAATAGATTCTAAGTCACTTAAAATATAATTCTTAATGTTCTTAATTGATGGTAAATACATATTACTAAAAGTTTTGAACTCTAAATATTATGAAATTTCTATTTATTTTGAAGTAAATTACAATATTACAATAGATATTTTATTTTGAAGTACAAGTACTATGATCAAAGATAAAGAATGTATGTAAATTATTTTACACCTGGCAATGAAGCTGTTTTATTCCGACCCCTGCCACTCAACCAACTAATCGCCACGTACCTACTAAAAGGTCCGTATTTATAAACAAAACTCAGCTGAGTCGGACTTGAGTAAGTCGTCCTTGAACGAAAATTAAAGTTCGGTTATATCGCGTGAATTTAGAGATGGGTAGTAACAAATCCGTAAATGTACATAACATTTACAGATTTGCTAATATCCATCTCTAAATTCCAGTCTAAAACCAAAACCACCTAGAACTTTAGAGACGTTGTAACCGAACTTCGATTTTAGTTCAAGGACGACTTACCCAAGTCCGACTCAGGTAACATCTGTTTATAAATACGGAGCTAAAACATATATGACATACCTCAATTTTAGTAGCCAGATAGAGGAGCTACTGGAGCATAATAAATTACGAGTATATAAAGAAATGAAGCTATTTTCAATAATGGTTTTTAATGTTTTTTCACCATTTATACGGAGTGGCCCAAAAGTCTGGAAACGGCCAATTATCTCGTAAATTGCTAATCCTAATTGTACAAAATTTATTTGGGGTACACCTATTTTGGGATACGGAGATTCCGGTTTTGATATTTGCAGTGTTGCCAGATTTGCCGTTTCTCACTTTGGTTTTTCAAATTCATCACCCTGTATATTCACTGATTATTGGAATATCCTATTCAATACGAGTTATTTTATTTATTTAAGACCTTCCAGACTACATAAAATCATAAGTGTTACATATGGTTGAACTCAATCATTGCAGGGAATCAAAATGGTTAAAACTACCTTAACTATTTTTTATATCAACTAATTATAGCTCAAAATATTAAAGCTATGCATTTGATAAACTACGTTTCAGAAATAATCTTCATAATCAACATCAGGCACATACAATCTCACCATATCAAATTTAGTTTTCAAATTTTAAAAAATTTCCTGTGAAAAAATTATTTCTGTATTTGAACATTGAAAACGAAGTCCAAAAGGAGAACAAATGTTGTTCAGAGCAGTAACTAGATAATTTGTTTTTTAATCAAGACAGTCATTTCTAAGACCAAAAATTACTTACTTATTTCTTGTGCATCATAGGTAAGGCATTATGGGTAAAGACAAGCTGACCCATGTGTAGGTGTTATTTACAAATTTACAAGTTTTGTTGTGCTCTATTTCAAGTTATCTGAATTGATCAGTTTGTGAAAGCTCCTTAAGAAAATGTATTACTTTAGGTTTTTCATGTGTAGCTATTATACAGAGTGGCCCAAAAGTCTAGAAACGGCCAATTATTTCGTAAATTGCTAGTCCTAATTGTACAAAATTTGGGGTACACCTATTTTGGGATACGGAGATTCCAGATTTGATATTTGCAATGTTGCCAGATTTGCCGTTTCTCTTATATTATTAGTCACTTTGGTTTTTCAAATTCATCACCCTGTATATTCAGTCACTATTGGAATCTCCTATTCAATACAAGTTCAACCATATGTAACACTTATGATTTTATGTAGTCTAGAAGGTATTAAATAAATAAAACAGAAGTCTGGCAATGCCTAATTGTCTCATAAATTTTTTAATACAAACTATTTTCAAATACATTAAAACGTAACAATTGAAAGATTACACCATTTTTAACATAATGGTTACTTTATCAAGTGTTCAAAATGTGCTTCATTTGTGAGTTGTCAGTACCCTAATCAATGATATAGTGCATTTACCACATTTCTCCATGATTGTTTTATTTATTCAAGACCTTCCAGACTACATAAAATCATAAGTGTTGCATATGGTTGAACTCGTATTGAATAGGAGATTCCAATAATGACTTAATATACAGGGTGATCAATTTGAAAAACCAAAGTGACTAATAATATAAGTAAAACGGAAAATCTGGCAACATTGAAAATACCAAATCTGGAATCTCCGTATCCCAAAATAGGTGTACCCCAAATTTTGTACAATTAGGACAGGCAATTTACGAGATAATTTGCCGTTTCCAGACTTTTGGGCCACTCCGTATATGTTGTGGACCAAGTGATTAATGAGGGCATTATTTATAATGCCCGGGAATTCTGAATGACACGTCAGATCGGGCCAAGTAATTAATTATTACCTAAACTTCATTATGTATCATAGTGTCTGGTCATTATGAATATTGCTAGGCGATCGTCGGACAATTTGCTTATTTAAGTACATCGGGCGGGGTGCGTGACACGCGCTAACCAATCAGATCCCACGGTGGCTGCGACGGCATCGCTGTTACAGAGAGCTCTTCTCTTCAGTGTTTTTATTTTTGTTTTTGCCTTTTTGCATTAAAAAGAAATAGACGAACGCGGACGGTTTATATTTTCGAATTGTATAATTGTATTGTTGTGCTATTTCTTAATTTAGTGTCGATGAGAATTGATACGGATCTAAACTAAAGTGTAAGTATTCCATTATTTGCTAGTTATTAGTAATTTTGTATAATCCATTATTTCAGGATGGATAAATCGAAACTGACTGACATGAATCGTCGATTTGACGAAAGATTAAATGAGTTTGTGTCACTAAAAGGTCAAAACACTTAGTTTTCCACTAGCGACAGTTAAACAGAGATAATTCGAAAAGTGAAATCTTCAAAATCTAAAGTGTCGAATAAAAAACCAGAAGATTATCAGCATTTGCGAAGATTCGATGTAAGGACTATTGGAGAAACAGAAAAACTGATTGTTCTGGTAAAAGAAGGTGACTTAATTAGGTATTACATTCGCAAAAAAGAACTATTTTAGACTTTACATGATACCCACCTAGTAATTGGACATGGCGGAAGAAATCGAATGCAGAAATAACTGGCGCTATAAAATTATTACGAGAGAAATGATTGTAATTTAATTAAACTGCGAAAAAAAAAACGAAATGTTTCAAAAAAAGGTTTAGTGGTTAAACCTATTCTCAGCAGAGAAATGAACGCAAGGTGTCAAATAGACCTAATTAACATGCAGTCACAAGGAGATAATTAGTATAAATTTATACTTATATACCAAGATCATCTCACGTAATTTTTGCAGCTTCCGTTAGCTCAAGATGTTCGGTGTTCCAAGTATTCTTCAAAGCGATAATGGCAGCGTTCGTCCATAAAATCGTTCAGGAAATTTGTGACATTTGGCTGGAATTGAAAATTGTGCATGGTAAACCAAGACACTCTCAGAGCCAAGTGTCAGTAGAAAATGCAAATCAAGATAACGAGAACATCGTAAATACATGGTTGGATGATAACAAAACAAAAAAATGGTTCGAGGGATTAAGTTTTGTGCAATTGATGAAAAATAGGCCTTAACTGAACTCCATATAAAGCCATGTTCGGGACGAAGTTGAAAGTAGGACTTAAAGTTCTTCTATACCCCATGAAGCTCTGCCTGATATCAATTCAGAAGAAGACTTAGAAAAACTATTATCCACCGAAGGCATTATCAAGACCTAGTAGAATCTGCTGAAATAAACCAACTAGAATCCAGGGAAAATAATGATATACATTTAAGTTCAGCTGGCCTACACACTACCTTAGATGTGTATTGTTAAAAAACTTCGGATTCAAAACCAGTTCCTGCAAACGAAATGGCTTCTTCAGAACAAAATGTAGAGAGCAAGAAAGAAAATGTTCTGATTGTTAGGAAATTGGCTTTAAAGTAATTTGCCGAAACAGGCTAATAAAATGTTGGATGCATCTAACGCTAAATATCCCGTAGCAAAAATAGGTGACATCGTAAGGGCCCGCGTTCCAGATGTTGATCGAGCTTGTAACAAAGAACTATTCTTGCTACCGTCATTGAAATAACAAGCTCAAACCTTTATAAATTAGGAACAATACATGGAATTTTTAATCAACTTTATTCAAGAAACCAATTTACAGTGTGCAAGGAACGATTTGTTTCGCTTCAAGATATTCGGAGGCAGAAATTTCACTGAGAGGATGTGTTAGGATGTCTTCTAAATATGGATGGCAAGGTTGCAGTCGTTGTAAAGGTGGCTGAACGTCTAGTAAACATAATTGTCGCAAAGAAAAAAAAACTTTGTAACTCAAAATGCCATTAAAGTAGCAATTGTTCTAATAAATGTTACTTGCGATCATTTTGCTAATTAAAATAAAAGAATGGAGATAAAACATGTATCTTTATTATCCTGCCCAATATGTGGTAGACATTATTTATAAAGTCCGGCAATTTAATTATTTCAACAAATATTATATCGTCCTCTCTTATTGGATATTTTTCAAAATGACCGGGCATTATATATATTTCCCCATTAATTACTTGGTCCATAACATATATATTTTATCCATTTTTCCCTTAATTCAGTACACATATATTACAAAAAGACTTACCGAACAATTTGAGATGTCAGGTACAATTAATTCAGGTATTCTTTCTGGAATTACAACGAATTTGTCTCCATTTTGATATCCAATATCTCGAACGCCTCTCTCTGAAAAATAATGTACCTATATAAAAAAACTATATTTAAAAACCAATTATGCAAAATGTTACAATATAAATAATTATTAACCCGTTCAGTCACCATGGTCGTTTAAACGAACATCAGTTTTTCATAATTCCAACAGTGAACTGAACAACAGTCTGTTGAATCATCGTGGTCAGCTCAACTTCACCTTTCCATAAAGCGGGCGACATTTTGTGGATTGCTCTTTTAGTCAGTTGTTGACAGGCACATTTTTTAATTACAGGTTATTGTTTATTAATGAACATAATGTATCCACATTATCGTAAGTTATTACAAGTTTATTAATTTATAATTTTTTTAGATATTTGGTGTCTTTATTATGTGCGTATAATATAGGATGTCTCAGAAATATTTTCGTCCGCTGGCGCAATAGGCACATTCCTAAGAAAGGAGGCAGTTGGATAATGGTGATATACAGTGTTAAGTTTTAGTTGCAATAAAGCGATTTACGGGACAACAACTTACTTTTTGTATTCGTGCGTTTTATAAAAACAATGATTCTTATGTTCTTGTGCGTTCGTTTGTACAGAAATCATTATAACATAGCAAGAATGAATGATGTCCAAACTGCAAATTTAATTAAATATTGGTTAAGAAAGTTTGAGAGTAGTACTGGAAATTAAATTTGCACTTGGGATATATCTCATTCTTGCTATGTTATAATGATTTATGTACAAACAACGTACAAGAATATAAGAATCATTGTTTTTATAAAACACACGAATACAAAAAGCACGTTGCAGTCCCGTAAATTGCTCCACTGCAACTAAAACTTAATACTTTCGACCACCGTTTGCCTTCTGCCTTCTTTCTCGGGAATGTGCCTATTGCGCCAACGAACGGATTAATAAACAAAAATATTTCTGAGTCACCCTTCAAAACAAAACACTTTTTTTTGTGTAAATTTTGAATGAAAAGGAAGTGGTCGTGTAAACGAACATGTTGTCTAAGTGGTTATAATTTTTAGGGTAAACAAGTGGTAATCAAATTTATAAAATGTCATCCAGGAAACTAACTGAAGCTGAACTCCTCAATCATCTTGAACATATATCATGTATAGATGGATTGAGGGATGTTGTAGAATATGAGGAAGTAAATTGTGAATATAATTTTTAGGAAAGAGTGGGGCGGCCATCAAGAGGGGGTAGTATTTGTGAGTCCACTACATTACCACCAACTAAGAAAACAACAACGGAAGTAAGATCTATTGATGATATTAGTTTTTTAGCAATGTTCATCATTTGCCGGTATTTGAAGAAACCAGACAGAGCAGGATGCAAGAATAATAAATATCTAAAAAAACTCACTTTGTATGCAGGAAATGCAACATTCATTTATGTATTACTCATGAACATAATTATTTTAAACAGTGGCAGCTCGTCAAATGTGTAATAGGGAGGGCTGAGTATAAGGGCACCAAAAAAACAATACCAAAAATCATTTAAACTTAAGCGGCTGAATACGAGGCTTTTTAATTCAGTTACTTTCATGATAAATAATTATTACGAAATTAATTAAATAAACAACACCACACTAGATCAACATAGCAAAACAAACCACAAAGCGATCGCGAGATGGACTGACTGACCTACGCCCGCCAACGCATGCATTCAAAATACATACTTTCTTCCCATTACTCCGCAATCTACACGTTAACGTCGGTAACCATGACAACCGTCCATCGATTCGCTATAGGCTGCTGGTACTACGCCTAATACAATAATTATAGCACGCATTTATTATGATAGAGAAAAACCGTATTATTCATACTGTACAGGTCCGGCTCGTCCGTAGCTAATTAAATTGATCGCTCACAAACTTTATTATTGCATTTATTTGTGTTTGACTCTTTTATTGTTAATAAATTTAGGAGTTAGATAAAATTACTGATGAAATACATGGAAATACTAATTTGCAGATGACTCCTGCTACTTCGCAGGGGGCGCCGTCCCAGTGCCCTGTTTCACCAGCCGCCGCTGATTTTAAAGCTTTCCATTATAAATAATAATTTACAATTTATATTTATGTATATAATTATATATAAAGATAGTAATGGTTGCATAGCAATAGATAATAATCCTGTTTTTCATAAACGGTCCAAACGCATTGATATCAAATATCACTTTACAATAGAACAAGTAAATTAAAACGTGGTAATCTTAAAATATATTTCAACAGGTAACCAATTAGCAGATGTTCTGATGAAATCTACCATTTCCTAGATTCCAGAAACTACGTTTCAAAATGGGCTTGATGGAGGATACACCTGATTTTAAAAATAAGATTAATTAACCTTATTTCTGGTCTGATTGGTGTTTTTGGGGTTTTCCCAAAACAAATACTAATCGACAAACATTTAATGAAATTCACATTGATACTCCTGACTTTATCACAAAAGAAACTGATACAGTATTTGGGTGTCAGAATTGATAAAAACATTAAATGGATTAGAAAACTAATACACAAATTCGGAATATATTGAATAAAAAATTGTTAATAATGATATCAAGCATTAGTTAAATCGTTAATAAGATATGGAATAACTATATGGTGTGGTTTATATAAAAACGAATTAAAACCACATAATACAGAATGACATTCTCAAAATAATTCATCATAAGAATATACTAGTTTCAACAGTACTCTTATATAATGAGACTATCCTTAACGTTAGATCAATATATTTTCACGCAAGTTGTATGTTCTTGTTTAAAATTAAAAATAAAAATTATATAAATCACATATATCTTACCAGGTGCAGAAGCAAAACAATATTAAATATTCCGTACTTTAAATATTCCGTACTTTAAATATGATGGAAACCACAGATTTCTCACAACTATTAGACCAAAAATATTTAATGTTTTATAGTCTGTCAGATAGTGACAGGTATAATAGGTGCCCTATTTTTGCATACAAGCCTCAAAGAGGGTTGAGAAGTACATCGATTTTAAGTAGAATGAAAGGAAATTTACGAATGGCTGCTGGGGATAACACATTGAAAATTCGATTTTCCCTAACAAAAACGAAAGGTTATTTGTTGCCCATTTTTTCACGCAAGCCTTTTTCACTATATGATTAATTAATAGAACTAGGCTTCGGAAAACCAAAGGCTTTAATGTTGCAAGTGGCTAAAGGGTTGAAATAAGGGCGTAATCTTCTAAGGAAAAATCGAGATTTTGCCCGATTTTTCCACACAAGCCCATCGAATGTATGAAAACGTATGTCGTCACTAGTCCGAAAAACATATTTTCTCGAATGACCCGAGGGTATAAGTGCATTTTGGGGTCGAAAAATTTTTCTGATAAGGAAAATCGAATTTTCCATGTGTTATCCCCAAGAGCCACTTGTAAATTTTCTTTTATTCTACTCAACATCGATGTACTTTTCAACTCTCTTCATGGCTTGTATACGAAAATAGGGCACCTAAATTGGTCACTACCTGACGGTCTATTACCTTGTAATATAAGACATCAATTTTTTTTCTAAAAATGCAAAAAGTTTATTAGTAGTAATTATAAAAATTTGTCAAAATTGATGTAATAATGCTTACCTTCAGCTCTTTAAAATTTCAGTGCTAATTAGTGAAAAAATTAAATAATATCAATTTTATACCTTTTATTTGAGTAAAATTATTTATTAATTAATTATTTAATTGTATTGCACATACAGATGCTTGCATCTAGGTACATCAAATCAAAATAATATCAAAAAATTGTATTAACTAAATGATTATATAATTGTAACATTGTAAATTGTAATTTGAAGATTATTGTTCAAGTATTAAACTATAATAAAGGAATGAAAAAGAGAAAATTGATTTTATAATCTTTAACTCACAACCCCACCACCACATCAGTGATTTAATTAATTAAACCTCTTAAGAACAAACCGAACACTTTGAAAATTTATAGGTAGTAATTCCTTCCAAGCTTTTATTTTGTGAAATTTTTAAGAAATACCAATAATAACAAAACTTAGGGTGGAGGAACCTTAAATTATTTGTAAATCTTCAAAAAGTATTTATTTTGAAAATGTTGAAAAATAATTAAATGTCATTTCTGTTTTAAATCTATGAAAATTTTCCACTTTTTGTTATAATATCTAGTAGTTTTTAAATGATAGGATATCCCATCTTTTTATTGTTCTATACCAGAAGGGTAACCAAAGGGACCCTATTACTAAGGACTCCCGTGTCTGTCCATCCATATGTCTGTCATGATCCGTAATAGGTAGACAGGTGAAATTTTCACAGAATCTGTATTTCTGTTGCCGCTATAACAACAAATAATAAAAATAAATTAAAGAGGGCTGTCCTACTAGAAACGTGTTTTTCTTTGGCTTATTTTGCTTGATCTTCATAAAGTATTTAAAAAGTACCTACATAGTATTAAATCTTGTATGATGGTGTGGAAACCCTTCATTCATGAGTCCGACTCGCACTTGATCAGTTTTTTTCTTATCGTTGCACACATTTAAAGCTCTCTATATTCTCGTTAAACATAATATCACAAAGTATTCCCAGTGGTGCACTAATAAATACAATTTTATATTATAAAATCCTTAAAACATTTTGGTTATAATGAGAGGTCCAGTTTGCTCTTAATATTAATGTCATTTGCCTAATGTAATTACATATTCATGTTATCATCAGATATAGCTATTGTAACTTTCAAACAAATTATATACTTGATAAAAATACATTAAAATTGACTATAATTTACAATAACTAGGCACAATTTAACAATTTTAGTAAATGATTCAAATTTAACAAATTAGGTATACGATTTTTAGAGCATCATTTCAAGTTTGATGTTTTGAATAAAATGTTTTACAAGTTACAATATAAATATTTACTGTTTATAATATGAATGGCATAAAATTTGAGTAAGAAAATATATCATCAATTTACATACTTAACATTTTTTAGAAAGAAAAAAATAGTAATTCTTAAATATCCAATAAATATATAAAATAAGTTAACTTTATGTTTAAAAAGGCTGATACTAACTATTTATGGGAATATCCGAGTTGGGATTTTCAATTTGTTGCTGTTTAAACACTTTTGAACCTCGTTTATTATATAATGGAAATTTTCTAAAATTTCTTTTTCCACAGTTTCTAGCGGTTGTGAATATGGATCTTTTAATAATCATATTTATTAAAGACATTGCAATTCAAAATAATTTTTTTATAAAAGTTTAGCACAAAAAATAACAATTCTTCTTCCTTCTTCTCGTTCTTCTCGTCTCGCTTCAAAATTCAAATGTCATATCATGTCACATGTCATTCAACTTCTGCTGCGTTTGAATATCTACATCGGATGCATCTGAGATGTGATTTTTTTTATCACGTATCTGCTTCCGGAATTGCCGGTTTAGTCGTTTTAACTTGTCAAATTAAAACAAGAAAACCGACAATTCCGAAGCAGAAGCGGATGATTAAAACGCACCTATTAAAAATATTGCGCCAAGATGTAGGCAACACGTAATAAGGGTTCAAAATGGCGGAGTTTTCTATCTCCTTTTAAAAGGCACTCAGAAAGCTGCGCAGTGCGACCATTCTCCGTATAGTAAAAGAAAATCAAAGTATGTGGGTCAGACATAGGTCAGAGGCACCGTGCGAGGTTTCTAAACGCACTCCAGCATTTCATTGGGCAAACATTAGGTCTTTTCCTTTGCATCGAAAGTGTAGCACTGAGCTACATCACTTCTGAAAATATCGTTCCGTTTATACAAATTGTATGGATAGAACGATATTTTCAGAAATGACGTAGCTCAGCGCTACACTTTCGATGCAAAGGAAAAGATCTATGTGGAAAACATCTCTAATCGATCATGTAAGGTCTTTTCCTATGCATCGAAAGCGTAGCGCTGAGCTACGTCACTTCTGAAAATATTGTTCTATCCATACAATTTGTATAAACGGAACGATATTTTCAGAAGTGGTGTAGCTCAGTGCTACACTTTCGATGCAAAGGAAAGGTTCTTTCGTTCGTCCCACTGGTGTAGGAATGAACTACACCAACTTACACCAAACCTTTCGTTTGGCCCGGTGTAAAACCCACTATACCTTCCTGTCGGCGATATGGTGTACACTGGTGGATATTTTCTCCACCAGCTATTTAGCAGGAGTGAATTACACTCGACATGTGTATAAGGAATAAGGAGGAAGTACATTAGGGTAAATAAATTGGTGTAACTGGTGTAAACTACACTGGTGTAAACTACACTGGTGGAAACTACACCAACAGCGAACGAAAGAACCTCATAAGACCTATTACGTCAATATGTGAAATTTCCGTCACTTGTCAGGCTCATGTCTTGTGTCAATTTGACACTTCAGTGACAGTATAAGGGGGTTGATGTTGATTAAAATTTTCTTGCTTGGATTTTAAAAGTATTAATTAAAAATGACTATGATAACTTCAACTGGTTTAAAATTAATTAGTAAGTTTACTAAATGATCTGTAAAATATTATTTTCTCACTGAATCATGAATGTGACAGTTACATAACTTATTTTATTTTAGCCAAACATCCTCCTATAGTTGCTGTTACCTATATTCGTTTAAATAATTACAGTACTAATAATCAAATATTAAACTTATCTGAATTAAAACGAGGTACTGGAGGCAGGTCTAGTTTTAATGGAGTTGTTGCTACCGTTTTTGGAGCAACAGGATTCATTGGTAGATACATTTGTAACAGATTAGGAAAATGTGGTTCACAGGTATTTATCTCAAAATTTGTAGCATTTAATGGAAGTAATTAACTATTTTTTAGATTATCATCCCATATCGAGGTGATAATTATGAACCATTACGTCTCAAATTGGTTGGAGACCTTGGTCAGGTCTATTTCCATCCATATGATTTAAGGGATGAAGAATCAATTAAAAAGTGCATTAAGTATTCGAATGTTGTTGTTAATCTAGTAGGCAGAGATTGGGAAACTAGAAATTTTAAATTTGATGATGTAAATGTTGAGGGTGCTAGGAGATTGGCAAGATTGGCTAAGGCTGCTGGAGTAGAACGTTTTATTCATTTATCAGCTTTGAATGCATCTGAAACCCCAAATGAGGTAAATTATACATACATTTTTTGTATCTATGACTACAGCAATCTGATTGTTACCAAATAGGACTAGGTATATTTATTTACAGAAAAACTGATTTATAATATAAGTAAGTAGATAAAACAAATTGTCTGGTACGCTTTAGGTAAGGTAAGAGCACCAGTAATCGACACTTTAAAATTTTGATTTGCATAGTTTGCTGCAAATTAGTAATAAAAAGTTATATAAAAATACAGTTTTTGATAAATTTTAAAATTAATGATACTTTCTGTGTTGGAGTGTTGTACAGACCGAGGGGTAAACACATCCAAAAAATGTGTACATAAGAATTCCTAACACAAAGAATACCTGACAATTCCCAGGGATACCTAAGAATTCCAGGAAATACCCAGATACTTCCTGGGAATACCCACAGACCTCCTGGGAATAACCTGAAACTTCCCGGAAGTACCCAGATAATACCTGGAATACTGAAAGAATAACCAAGTATATCCAGGTAATGCCCAAAAAATATATGAGAATAACCAAGTATTTCTAAAGGTTAGTAAATAAGGTCCTTAATGAGGTCTTTAAATTATTAGAAAAATAACTTTGGAAAGAAATTATGTTAATAAATAATACATTTCATTTTTTAACATTTTGCTTCCTTAATATTTGACAAATTAATTCACACATAATCGTCAAAACTAAAAAAGACTTAGTTGGTCTTTTTATAACATCCTCATAATTGAAATATTTTATAGCACCCTGTGTGGCCAAAAATTCAAATCTGACAAAAATATCGAAAAAAAAAATTGGTTCAAATATATAAAAATTACTAAATAATGTATTTAATAAATTTTTATTAAGACATATTTAATTTATTAAAACAATACAATTTTGTATATTTTTATTAAAATCGTGTTATTTAAAATAAAACAAAGTAATAAAAAATAAAAATAAATTATTTAAAACTTTTAATAAACTGTTGCAAGCTTATATTCATTATATATTTTCTGACTGAAAGGTAACAACCGTATTACATTCTTTCTTCTTCTTGGGAAGTTTGTTGAATTCATGCAGGCCATTAGGAAATAGGGATTTCTATGTGAGTGTATAGTTAGTATGAGTGACATAAACTTTTGTGTTTTTTCTAGTAGGCTATGTGTGAATTTCATTGTTATAGGTAAAAAATTGATTAAAGTAAGTTGGGCTGTGAGAGTGTGTTATTTTAAAGATAAATATAATTGCTGAATAAAAAAATATTTCTTCTATTGATAGCAAATTTAAAGTATCCAACATTAACTTAATCGGAATATACCGCTTACATTTTAATAGTAAGCGCATTCCTCTGTTTTGTAGTTTCTGCAAAGAGGCAATACTGTTTGTGTCTAATAGCGTTAGCAAGCTACTGTAGAAATCTAGATATGGTTGGATAATAGATTTGTTCACTAAAATTGCTGTATTAAATGTCACATTTCTTCTTAATCTACCAAAAAATATAGCTTTTTTGAGATTTTGAGGAAATATAATTAAAATGTTTTTTCATACTCAAAGTATCTATTTGGAATCCAAGGTACTTTAACTCTGTAACAATTTCAATTGGCTCTCCAAATATTTCCAGATTGATAAGTCTTATATCTATTTGCCTATACCTTATATTCAGTAGTGATAATCATCCCCTTTTTTTACATTAAGTTTGAGGCGATTTGTATTTAATAACGTAGACAGATTTTGTGGTGCATTGTTCATTTTTAGAACCGCTCTTTACAAAATAAATAAAAGGGGTCCCAAGACCCTGCCCTGAGGAACATCGCTTTTTACACTTTTATTACTTGATTTATAATCATGAACTTTAGTATTCTGTGAATGGTTACTGATAAAATTTTTGAACCATAAATGCCGATTCTCACTAGTCGCTCGGGTCACACTAGCTCATGATTTGCTCTCAGTCAAGCATGTGAGGTAGTATTCACAAGTTACCCTCAACTGGTGCTCATTTCCTGAAAATCTTATATTTTTTAATGCCATCTTAGAGTATAACTTATCACCCAGGTTGTACAATTCTTTGGTATTTTGAACTAATATAATTAGTTGTTCATCCAACTTGCTCTTAACACAAGAATAGAAAAAACAAACATCGTTTAATTGTTGCTTGGCGCAAAGGTTCACTCACGGTTTGGTCAAAATAGCCGCACGGAGAAAGACCGCGTTCAAAGATCGTAAGCTGACTACGAGCGAAACGCTAAATATGAATATTTCCGTATAAATAGCATGTCATAATATTGCATCGCTCCTTGAATGGAGCGTGAGCGGAGCGTGACCTGAACTACAGTGAGAATCAGCCTTAATAATCTTCAACACATATTATTCAAGTTTTTTAAGTAATATTGAAATGTTACTAGTTTCAAAAGCCTTTTTGAAGTCTAAGAAAACCACTACAATATATTTGTTGCTATCTATATCAAATTTCCATTTTGTCAAAGTTACTTGTAATGCCGTTTTACATGAATTCATAACTCTGAAAGAAGATTGATATTCCATTAGTAAATTATTATTTTCTAGATAATCTAATAACTATTAAGATTTTTTCTAACGGGGGCAAAGTGTTAATAGGTCTAAAATTTTTAGCTTCATTATTGTCTATTTTAGGTATAGGGACAACTGTACTTACTTGTAGGTTTTCTGGAAATTGACCAGTTCTAAGAGATGTGTTAATAAAATTTAAAATTACATGGCCTGTTAAAAATACCTTTAACATAAATATCAGAATCGGGGAAATTACTCAAGACTGCCCCTGTAAAATTTACTTAAGTATCAATTCCAGTGAACTCCATATAGACTGGAACGGCGACGACTGTTCCGTGAAATAGCAAAAAGTGTGTCAGGGGCAGATGCAACAAAGAGAGATAGATAGGGCAACTTGTCTTTGTCACAGGGATCCCAGATCTCACGATTCAGCACTGAGTCTCACGATAATGCGCCTGATTCTCACGATATTTTTAAACAAGCTGCTTGCAGAAAAGAACCTTAAGTGTTTTGTAATAACGATTCTTTTTAATTAATAAAAATAATTTAATTATGCTATAGAGTCCGACCCTGAAACGTGCTAATACGCTGGCGGAAACATGACGGACAACTACCACTTGACAGTCCCCAGAAAGTGTTCGGATAGTTTTGAAATAAAAAAAAAATGTAAAAAAACAAGAACCAGTAGGTGCGCAGAGACATAAGAAAATAGGTGGAGGCAGGAGTCACATTTGTGGTGTGAGTGTGTTAACAAATTAGTTAGGGTAATTTTTAAAATAGATTTATCATCTAGTGCTGAATTTGCTGAGTGCATTCTTGGTTTATTTTTAATTTTAGTTTTTTTGATCGAATTCCGTGAAAATTAATTTGAAAACTACTAAAAACATGTAAATTTAAACTATCGATAATTACATAAAATAATCGATAGTTGTCGGTAGTAACACACTATTGATAATATCGACAGTGCTATTACTAAATATTTTTTGTCTGTATCATACGTGTTAGAGAGGTGATATTTAAAAGACGGCCATTATCCTTGCTCTTCGCTCGGATAAAATATATAAAAATCGAAAATACTGTATCTATTTCGCTAAACTGCGCATGTGAAGTACAATCTCACGATTTCTAACGATTTTTTTAATGATCAAGCTCACGAATTTAGGCTCAGTGCATCTGGGATCCCTGCTTTGTCATACTCATGACAAGTGAATTACGTTTATTTTAGGGTTGGTCCATAAATTATCTTTTAGGTAAAAAAAAACAAATTTTAGGACATACTTTTGTTGAAAACCATCGTTCTTCATATTCATAAATAGTTCAGTGTTGAAAACGGTAATAGTGAAGATAGACACATCAATAGACATTCGTTTTTTTAGTACCTATTCCATTAGTTTCATTTGTCACTTGTTTTATAAAAGAACCTTTTGTTATCGTTTTTAATTAATAATGGTGATTTATTGTGTAGCATTTGGATGCAAGAATGAGCAGATAAACGGAAAATATCTTTTCATGGGTAAGTTAAAAAACTTTGTGGAGAACATTTTCATCCATTTGATTATATAATCAAACAAGGTTGTACTGCTAAATTATTAAAGCCAGATGCTGTACCTAGTATTTTTTCATATTCAGCACATTTGTTACCAAAAATTGCTACACCTCGTAGAAAAATAAAAAAGCTGGTAGGTACACTATGTAGAAGAAAAATATAGTTGCACTTGTTTAAGATGAAAATAATAAAAGTTTTTTTGCAGGATGAGTATGTATGTTCATAATAACTATGTTATTAACGATAGTGCAACTTCTATGGACATTATTGATTTACCTTCTACTTCGGCATCAAGCTCACAAGTTCGAAAGATGATAAATCGTAAAACCCAAACTGATTCGTATAAGATGAATATACTTTTACAAAGAAAAGTGAAAACATTGAAACAGAAAGTAAAGAGAAGAGATGTGAAAATTACCAACATGAAAGATGTTATTAATGAAATTTCTAAAAGTGGACATAGCTATGAAAATCTAGACGAGATACTAAAAAATCATTTTGAAGGTAAAAACTACAAAATTATATTTTTAAAATCTAGATATACATCATAATTTCTTTTCAGGATTGCCTTTGGAACTGTTACTCCTCCAAAAAGGGAAAGATGAAGGTTTACATTCTGTGCATCGCAGATATTCATCTTTAATGAAACACACTTTATATTTTTATTCTCCTAAAGCATATAATTTTTTACGCAAACATTTTGTACTGCCTAATGGAAGGACTATAAGGAAGTGGTTGAGTAGTCTAAACTGCGAGCCGGGGATTTTAGGTGAAGTTTTGGAATTTTTAAAAAAAGAAGTGCTTAATAAACCATCTTTAAAAAATTGTGCTTTAGTGGTGGATGCTATGTCAATAAGAAAACAAATTGACACTGATTTTGAAATGCCAGCAACAGAGGCACATTTTTTGCAAATTGTAAGTTACGCAAATAATTTTAAATGTCTAGTAGCTT